TGAGACTCATTAAAAAAATTTTAAGTTTTGTATGTCCAATGATGATATTCAATGGATTCTAAAAAATAAAAAAAAAATAATTATTTTTATAAAAAAAAATAAAATGAAAAAATAAAATTAGTATATATAAATATAAAAAAAATTATTAAAACTTGAGTTTATTATGTTTCATAAAATTTAAACGTATATTACAATCCGTATACATGCATTCATTGATAAGAAAGTCCTCGAGTTCACGAACATTGGTGACATCTAACTCAACCATCAGTGTATCATAGGGCAATACCTANCATTAANAAGCANCGNGTGGTNAANAAANGGAAACACAACAGAGAAGGCTAGGTGTAATCACATCCAAATTATTGTTGATTTAGGACAAAGTATCAAACTGGTCACATGCCAACCAATAAAAAAAGAGCCATACCTTGTTTGATTCAGCAAGGGTAAGCACAGTTAGCTGCTTTATCTTGAGAATCAGGGACCAACTGAGGCTAGCATTGCCTAGAGTTTCAATGAAAACTATCTAGAAGAGGAATAGGAGACACTTTGTTCATAAATAATATAAAAAAACGTGACAGGTGTATGAACAACTTTGATATGATCATCATCATTCTCAACAACAAAAAAAGACAAATTGGACATCTTACAACACATCAATGAACTCATTATACTTGCATAGATCATAAGAATTGACAAGAAACTAATGATTATTGATTGAAAAATTCAAGTATCAAGAAGGTGGAATCACTTTCTTCCTAAGAACATGTTTAGGAAGAGAAGCGGATTCACCATAATCACCACGAGCACAACTCTCCATGAACTACAAAGTCACTTTACCTCCCAAGAAACGAGAAAATTCATTGAAAATCATCATATTCTGAAAATCGTTTTTTCCTCCTAGCTCATTGAACCCAACCTATCAATAAGCATTGAAAATCTATTAAAAATCAACATATTCTATAAAAAAAGATAACCAAGATTGAGTTTGTTTATTTACCACATAATCATCGACTTTAGTGTTCTTTATGAGGGCAAGAGTTGGAAGAACAACAATCTTGCGTCTCTCAGCTAAAAATGGACTTTTCTCAGCTTGGATCTTCACAAAACGTGTCTCAATATGTTGTTTTGCCAATATACTCATGTGCTTATCCATCACCTGCAAAACAAAACAAACATTTCTGGTTTTATAGTAAGCTAATGAACAAGAAAGCACCACTTTTGGAGAAACAAATTTCTCTCCTTAACATTTCTTATCAAAAGATCACACATAAACTTAAAAACCCAACAACACAAGCAAATCAAACCCAAAAAGAGATAACTTTGGCTAAAACCCAGCAAAATCTTCTGCAAATTGAACAATTCAATTGAAACCTGAACCCTAAAATTCAAATGCAAATAAAATNGNGGATATGATTCCATANTTTACANGGCCAATTCTCANGGTAAAAGTGGCAGACGACGCGTTTGCTGGATTTAATGGCGGTGAAAAATTCTTTTTCGGAATTCATAACTTAAAATGGTTCTTTGTACATTGAAAATTGAACAAACATACAAACAAATGATAAAAAGAAGGAGAATCAGACCAAGAACAATTTTCCATCAATTCGAGAAACCTTTGTAATCCCAAGTTCCAATTTAGTACAAATCAAGTATTACCAAACCAATAAATCGATCTCTAATTAGATATACAAAAGAAACACCATTCGATTGAAGTAATCGATAAACAACACAAAGAAGCACATACTCTCTTCGCCGACAACATCAAGTGCTTCTAATTTTTTCTTCATCAGTATCAACGAGAGAATCTCGTGGACTCGATCAAAGACATACCATCTTGGATAAAAAACCCCGAAATTAAAAGTCAAAAATCACCGCTCAGCCTCCGCCACATCTATGCCGCAACACCGGATTTCTTAATGTCGGATTTTCTCCGTTCAAGTTTGT